CCTGGATTTTTTATATTTTTATCCCAATTTTTTAAGTTTAGATTTTCCTAAATATACTAGATATATATTGTAAAATCTCAATACATGCATAACTACTGGCTACCTAGCCCCGTACCGTATTTTTGTTTGAGTGTGTGGTCACACGCTGCACATCTCGTGTGACACACACCCCTGTTATTAGGGTTCATGTAACCCCGCTACAGGTGGTGTCAAAGGTAATAGAAGTATGCACAGACAATTCTTACAAAATAAGATTGAACACGCATTATACCGCAAACCAATGAGTAGGAGCGACTACTACCTCTTTGCGGAATTCCTTTTTGATGATATCCCTTACAACACGATTAGCAGGTTCTGTCTGTCCCATCCGTTCAAAGATGGTCGGCTATTGACATATCGAGTTCGGAGCCGCCAAAATTACTCAACGATAACCACAATTTGTGGTAAGATGAGAAGTTATATCTGATTTACTGAGTACTGGCAATCCATGGTGACAAAATCCTGCATCAAAGAACAACTATGGTATATATGATATACCCTCATCGGTCACATTATTGCTGACAGCAGTGATGGATTCTATCTTGCTGAGAGGGCCCACAAATTCGCAATACAGGTTTTTTACAAGAAGTGCGTTGATGGAGCGAATTCAATTACATATTTATGGCATGCCAGTATTCATTGGAACCGGTAGACTAGCCAAAAAAGACGCCGCATGCGGTGGGTATTGAGCCCTTAAATACTTTCACATCCGCGCGTATGTGCGCTTACTCACTCAATCATTCATACTGTTCGGTGTATCACGAGCGTCATGTAGTAATTTGTATTTTTAGTCATCATTGTACAATTATTCACACTAAGTGTGTCGGGGTTTCACGTGCCCTGGTATGAAGGGAGTGGGTCACATAACATGGTGTGGCTATACTTATACAACAAGTCAGTTCGTGGCTAGAACAGCCAGTAGATATATATATTTAATAAGGTTTTACTATGTTGATATGAAAATCTATAGGATATAGGCGGCTTTGCCGCAAAAATAACCGAGAAATACAGTTTACATTTTGAACGGAAGAGTTGATTAGCCTTGGGTTATGGCTGTAGTTACTCGTGGAGTAAGTGGAATGCGATCCGCTACAATCGAACTGGTTCTAAGTATAGAACAGAGATCACCGGCCTTAACCAAGCTTCCTCTAAGCAAAAGAGCGACGCAAGCCCCGCTGCACTTAGTGTCATGTGCTTCAGTAGCAAACCCTGGGATAACGCATTGCGGTGCAAACATGCAAAAGCGCTTTGATACAGCAACATCTGAGCTCTCTGACTCTGTGCTTTTCAAGCTTGTAGCACCACAAAAATTGTGCGATTGACCCGTACATTGTACGCTGCCTAATCATATCCTTTATAAGGATATTGGTGAGGGTTCATTTTATGTCGGCAGTGCTTGCTCAATACTTAGTCAGGCCAAGCTGCTTCCTGAAGAGCATTTTAACCGCGATAATCCAAAACCTACATGATTATTCCTAGCTGCCTGGTGAAGCAATTAAAAAAAAACTGTTCGGTTTTGAAGACATACTCCTATAATGTGACAATTGCTAACCTAAGCGCATACCTTCAAGCACTACACGTAAGTAAAAATTATAATCATCCACTTCCGCACTACCGAATCTGGGCAAATAAATCTCAGCGTAAATATGTGCTTGGCACGACGTGACATGAACAGCTGAGTCACTCGACAGTTGAACGTGATTGATGCGCTAACAATGTGTTTGGCAGAAAGCGCCACTCCCACAGCATCCTGCTAGGAGTGAGAGGGATATCGCTATATCTCATCAGCAATTGAAAATGTTCATCAAGTCGACTGAGGGAAATGAACAAACCAGAGCAGTCATTCTGTTCAGCAGCATCCTTTATAGGAATCGACGTTTGCGCTGTAATCGTGGATACACGATAGCGTAATATAAATATTTACTATCCCTCGGTAGCTGTTAGCCTTTCTTACACAAAAGTTCCGCGCTAAGCGGGGATATTTCACACCAAACTTATTCTTGCTTCACACAAGAACAAGTTTGAATTTTGGCACACTTTTGCATTGGTAAAGGTCATTATCGTCCAGCACAATATCTGCTTAGGGAAGCGAGCAATCAAAGACGCACTCCTTAGTTTAGAATGACACGAGTGGGAGGTCTCTTGATACGATATAAATATAACCCTTTAACCAAGAAAAGAATGTAGCTGTATGATTGCCGAGAATGGATTTTCCATTTTTTGCGATTTGTGCTCTGAAAGTGTTCGCAAGGACTGATTCATCCATAAAAGATAACAAAGTCAGCATCAATTGTAGAACCAACCCTACCAATTCGTACATTCACTATCTTGCAATTGCTTGTAAATATCTCCTGGAAATTATTCCTTCGGCTCTAAAAAGCTTCTGGAGGCAGTGAGAAGAGGATTACAACCCTAAAGCCTACCCATTTACTGCAATTGTGAGGATATACACCTTTTCGGCGCTTACCCGTGAGAACTTGCTGCTGCACACAGTGGACCGTCGCACAGTAGTGCTAGCACAGCAGTACCAAATTTAGTGTCAAATGAGTCATCCTTTTGTTTGGTCCTGGCGCTTCTACTCGTGTCTTACAGTCGCTGTCCATCTTCACTGGCCCTGACATGGGAGACGATCGATAGCATTTGCTTTTGTTTACTGTCCGCAATTGACAAAAAAACGGAATTTCCAAAACGATCATTGTCAAAAGTTTGATGTCTCCTCTAAATTTTCGCGAAATCAGGAACGCTCTTCGACCCTGCTCGACAAGCAAGGCTTAAACATCTTGAAATCATTTAAATTCCACCAGCTGTACATCATAGCCGTGCTCTATAAAGTCTGAGAGATCAGGCTTGCAGCGACATTTTTATAGCATCAACATGTAGGTCTCGACGCCAGATGTGCCTTAAAGCATATACAAGGTCACGGCTTATGGACCATCAAACGCTCAGATATATTTCAATTTTAAATCCTCCCGAGATCTGCGCTAGTTATATTATCCATGCATCCAGATGATGCCTGTAACGTGGTTACACGTACCCTTGTATGAAAGGGTGTATCGCACAAGTGTGACCGTATAAAGATATGAATTACACAGGTCGGTGTAATCACACAATGCTACACCGTAACAAGAAGCCACGATGTGGCAGGGCCGCCTATATCTAATACCTTAGGTTTTTCTAAATTACTTAGAAAAAACTAAGGTATTAGATATAGGCGGCTCTGCCGCAAATTGAACAATTAAATACAGTTTTATTTTGAACAGAAGAGTGCCTTTACCTTGGTTAAGGTTTTAAGAACTCTTGGAGGTAGCGGATTGCGATCCACTAAACTCGTACTGGTTCTTATATAGAACGTAATGTTGATGACCTCAGTTTAGTTTTCTCCAAGAAGAGAGCTCCGGCAGCCCCGCTGCAATGCCGCCAAGGTGCAAATCAAAGATGATGCGTTCCAGTTGCCTCACAGCTTACGCGATTTTGAACAAGCCGTTGATTATAAAAAGTCGCATGAGCTTTGTTGAATTGGCTTTAGCTCTGGAAGGATCGCGTCGCTGTCACGGAGACGAGATGCGAAGCCGGTAACGATGGTGAGAAGTCTGATCTGCGCTTTGTGTGCAAGTCTATTGATAAAATTGATGCTGGTCTCGTTGGGTATTGACATTGACAGAGAGATAGTAATTCTGGTCAGTGCGAAGAAGTAGATCAATTTATTAAGCCTGAAGTGAGTTCAGTTGTTAACAAACATCAGCGCGAGGCTGGATTGAAATGGCCAAGACACGTAAATTGTGGTGAAAGTATGCTGGACGCCGTTCATGCAATGGAACGAGGTTTCACGCCACGGAATCATAATAAATTTGTTTAGTTAGATAACAGAAACGAATCACTACTGAATTGGTGATTCGTTTCTGTTATCTAACTAAACAAATTTATTATGATCAAAAGAAGGGTTCCCCGGGACAAATTACGCATTACACAAGCTCAGATCAAGTCGTTTACAAGCAGTAATACCTTATTACCAGATTCCAGTTGCAACGTGATCCAAACAGGGACATGATTAATTACCACCGGCTTTGTGGTCGCCATTTGGTGAATAGTTTGCTTAAATGAAATGTCAGTTTAAGAATCCGAGATTGGAATTAGAGGTCAAGTAGACGTGCTGGATGTATTGAAATCCCTGTACATAATACCCCGAGCATAACACCTCAATTGTTTCCCAGAATATCATTGTCAAATATCAAAGTTTGTGTTACCAAGTATGCAGCTGGAGGAAGGAAAGTGTGTCCCACGAAAAAATGAGGTTGCTTCATTCAATGATCAGTTTACTTTCCAAGATTTAACAAATTTATCAGCTGGTTTGTTGATCTGGAGTTTTTCTATTTGATACTTTGATGTCTTCATTTTTTTTAATTAAAGACAGATATTCATAATGATATTAATCAATCGCTTCATTCAGAGTAGATTTTTCTCTTAATTTGATGATTCTCGCAACGGACGCTCAGCATTTAAACGCAGCTTTGTAAAAGCTTGTTGCAACATCATAATTTCTAGAGCTGAAGTCAATTTCTTCAGCACCATCTTATCACGTTTTTTGTGTTCACTGATCAATAGTCGAAGTCCCGCAACGAGCAAGTCTCGAATTTTTTGCGTTTCAGCTTCAAATAACATGATGGCTTTACCATTGTCTAAGAAAAATGCCACTGATGCATCGATTTCTTCTTCAATCATTGTTTGTAGTAGTGAATTTTCGTCAGAGACGAAGGCAGATACGCGTCGTAGATTGTAAAGCAAAAGCCGCGCAGCTTTCTTCTTCTCGTCGATCGATCCAGTATTGCTAGCACTTATAAAGCTCAAGTATCGCGCATTTACTGACTCCAGCAATAACACACGATTCTTGACTATACCTGTTGAGGGATGATACTTCAGGTAGTATCCTTTCACAAGAACTTTCTTGAAATGATCAAGAAGCACTTGAGCTTTTTCTGATCGATTCGGCTTCTCTAAAGATTCTTCTTGACCTTTTACTTCCTTTTTCGAATACTTCAGCTCCACAGATCGTTTAAAAGGAGATTCTAATTTCGAGTCTGCAATTGAAGGATCCTCTACAACAACGGTTGCAGTGGTAGTAACAGTAGTTACAACAGAAGGATGACGTAAATCACCACTTTGCAGAATTTCAACAGGAACAGCAGCTTGCAGCTTTCCTAACGCTTGTTGCATCAATTGAGTCGCAACATATTGTTGACTCTGTGCAACGACATCCGAACTATTCCGCAAAGCAATTACTGCTGTGTCCTTACACACTTGAACCATCTTTTCACCAGCTCGACGTTTTAAGGCAGCAATGGTATAATCAATAATCTGTTCATGTTGCTGGAAAGCTGGAGCAATATAATTTTGATACAGCAGTAAGGCACCACGATATGATGGTAGTACAAGCCACGCCAGAGTCAAGATCTTGATTTCTAAGTAGAACGGGACCCAGGATATGATTGTGTCACCTACAGTCTCCACAGCCCAAAAACATGCATTAACTACCCTTCAAATTAATATCATAAATAATAATGTTGACATCAAGAATAATATTAGTGCCTTAATAAAACCATCAAAAAAACATTCTTTGCCTCACCAATACGTAATCCATTGTAACAACTCCTGCTCTTGACGGGTACGTAGTGACTCAACTGAAGCGTAAAGTGGGTAGATATATCCTAGACCCATGCATAATTGCCGAGCGACAACGAGTCCTACAAGCATTACGCTGACTAAATGACTTCTTGAATGCGTAATTATTTATAACCTGGAAGAAAAGTATTATGTAACTGCCAGTACGAAAGTATCACTCCTATATATTAAGTCTAAAGTTCTTATGAACGTCGTTGCATCTCATCGCTGGCTACATGCGCACCCGGACGACGCCAATGCGTTTGCTGAAGCATCAATTTTTCAGATTTTTCTTGCCGGCATGTTTTTCGGACTTGTTCACGTAATGACAGGGCCAGACCATCTTAGTGCTTTGGCAACACTCGCTGCTGGTTCCTCGTGGCGTTCATTTGCACTGGGATTTCGCTGGGGTTGCGGTCATAGCATTGGACTTATTCTTATGGCACTTGCTTTTATTGCGCTTGATGGGAAATTTGACTTTTCCGCGCTTACTGTGGTCTTAGATGTGCTAGTGGGAGTCTTCATGATCATTTTGGGTGTTTATGGCATACACGAAGGGATGAAGAAGGCAAGAAAAAGTAAACAAAATGTAGAAGAATTTGAGAAAATGAAGGAAAATGTGCAGGAATCTGAGGATGCGACTGAGAGTACAGACATGGAATCGGAATCAGGCACAGGCTCGATTGCAAGTCCCAGTGTGAAGTTACTTAAACAGGAAATTCACGAAGTAGTTGTCACGTTTAGCGACGAAGATTTGTCCTGTGCTACACGACGACGAAAAGTAGAAAATTCGACAACGTCCAAGCTACAGGACGATGGCACTGATGAGGAAGATGCGGTCATGGTTAATGTTGAGGTCACTCATGCACGAGAACGCTCTGCTAGTGTCGATACAATATCACTAGAGAATAGTCCATGTGAAAGTGTAAAGAAACTACTAACGGATCGTCATCAGTCCAGTGACGAAACATTTTCGGACAACGATGAAATGAAGCGAGATTCAAAACTCATGTGTTACGGTTTTCAGCTTCCAACGATCGATTTTCAGAACGTACAGACGCAAAAGGTATCTCGAGAGTTTTTGATGGCTACGTTGGGTCTTATTTTTAAATACGTTGTGTCTAGTGCACTGCACTAATTGTAGGTATTGTCCACGGCATTGCGGGACCCGGTGGTATTCTCGGGGTGCTCCCTGCTGTTGGATTGCATGACACCGTCAAGTCGTGCATATACTTGAGCTCATTTTGTTTAGCGTCAATTTTAACCATGGGCTTATTTGCTGCAGTGTACGGAGAAGCAACAGGTCGACTAGGTGATCGTTCTGAGCTGTTAGCATTTCGTATTTCTATCATCTCGTCCATGCTTTCTGTGATCGTGGGTGTCCTCTGGTTGATTTTAGCTGCTCTCGGAAAGCTGCAGGAGATTTTTGGCTAGAAAAAGTGACTATTATTTAAACTGAGAAAATAGCGATGTACATTAAGACAGCAATGAAGTCGCGATATAGAGTAAAGGAATTTTATACGGCACAAATGCTACTGTCACTAAGGTCTTAATAACATTAACGAAGCTAAAGCTAATGGTCAATTGTAAAATTTGTGCTATTGGATAAAGTTTGAGTACTGTACACTGTAAACTCGTGTCAAATCTCACCAGTTGTACAAGCAGAGCAAATTGCTCAAAAGACATCACTTAGAATGGTGTGATTGAGTAAATCCATCGTATCTCTTTTCCTAATTACTCCTGTTTGGCAGACTCCTCCGAAAAATCAGGCTCTAGATTAACATCAATTGTTTTCTCTTCTTTTTTGTCACTATCACCAGCGCTCAGCTTCTTTTCGTTCTCATCTTTAGCTTCAGCTAAATGCATAAATTTGTCAATTCTCTTTCTTCCTCAATCCATTCATCAGATCACTTACACTCGTTCTTCGTCTTCCAGTAGTCATCCATGTCATTGTCCAGCCTCTTAGAAGCGTGCTCTTCTGACTTTCCCCAGTAACTGTCCATCTCAGCGTCTAATTCCTCGGCTGTTTTAGATTTTGGCTTGTCACCTCGACGACCGCCACGTCCACGACCGCCCTTCCCACGTCCTTTAGGCTCCGCATTTCCTGCACGTCGACGACTGCGATTTCCACGACCTCCTTCGTAAGGGGTAGCACGGTTTCCCCCACCATTGCCGCCGTTGCGTCCACGACGTCCACGTACCATTTTTGCCAAAAGGCTAAACTGACTTCGAGCTAGATTACCTCGCCATCTCGCTACATCGCTTTTGACAAGTATTAAGTAAATTAACACCAAATAGATTGTTGCTTCAACCAAGCCCGCAGATTATGTGAGCAAGACGCCCCCATTTTCTCTTCTTCATGCGTCTCCCTTCCATTTGTTGACCCTCCACGGTTCACCTCAGCTATCATCATTAAATCTCATACGATGTCCAAAAAGCCACAGTGCTACATTTGGAATGTTGAGCCATTAACACCTCCCACGACCCACAGCTTTGCAAACAAGACTCTAGCTGTGAAAAAAATTGAGGTAAGGGCGCGCAATGCACACGCTGCTGAAGCGGATTTGTCAGTATTTGAGCATTCTCAACCAACTAATGACTTAAAGCTCGCGCCTCTTATTGCCTCGACTATGAAAATTAATTGCTCAACGCCTGCATTAATTGGTAGCATAGAGCCAAGTTCGGCTTCCATTTCTGCGATCGCTGCTTCATCACTTATAGTTAATTCAGATGCCGAATCAATGGAAGCATCTTGTTCTTTAAAGAGAGAAAAGGAGAAAAACCGGCGAAGAAAGCGCGAGCCTATTATGCTTCCACCTGCGGTTGAGGGTGCAAAGCTGAGCTTTAAGGAATTGAGGCGATTGAAAAACCGTGTTTCAGCTACACGCTTACGTCAGCGCTCTCAGCAGCTGCTTCAGTCAATGCAAGACCAAATTGAGTACTACCGAGCTCGCTGTGAGTTTTTGGAGATGACAGTGACAGGATGCGCTACTTGTGCAAACCTCAACACAGTGCAAATTGATGATATTGAGCTGTTGCCTGCGTCTAAAAAAGCGAGAATAGAGACTGTGTCAGACTCGACAGGTTATATTAACGACGATGAAGGAATATTGCTCACGGATACCGAGTGTGTCGTGCTTCACAATGTACTGCACAATTGACTTATCGATGCTGTGTAGTCTGAGGCAATCCATAACCAGAACGACGAGTAGTAAGGACATCGTAGTAAATTAATACATGATTGATTTGAAACATAATTTCGTCGCTTAGTGCATATACCACTACGGTAGGATTATGTGTTCCCAAAATGGGTATTTGATACGGCGCAAACTTGCTGCTGTGTAAGGTACAAGTACACACATCCTTCAGCTGCATATTGCGCTCAATCAAGCCGCACAAAAACATCCCCAGGATGCGTCCGCCTGCACAAGTCGCACAACAACAGAAAACATGTTAGATCTTGCTGACGTCAGGCGAATACTTGCACGTCAACGCACAACGCAACTACAAAATCTCGTACATATCAGCAGCATTGGCGACATTTGATAGTCCACGTGACTTTTGTACTGCAAAAGCGTCTCCCATCTGGTTCAAAAGTGGTATTTCCTCGTCACACTGAATTTTATCATTCTTTAAGAAGCTATCTTGGATCCAAAATTGCACCATATTCATAAATAATGGACAACCAATCATCACAATGAGTAGCTCAATTTTCGGATGGTGATGTACAGGATAGAAAAGCAAATATCCCATCCATCCCAATGGCGTTGAGAAGATAAAGAGCACGAGACCCACAATAACTTTCATGATTGTTAAAATAAAACACCATTGCAATAATTGAATCCACCAAATTCGCCACGATGGTGGAGATCCATAATACCCGTGACACCGCACATTTGTCCATTGCTGCCGCATTGCAATAATTGTAAAAAGCTGCAACAACAAGTATGCAATGTATACACCAAGTGTTGTATCGATCACAACATTCATGAAATAAAAGGCACACTACAATTAAACATCAAGGTTATCATGTTTATTATCGCTCTTCAAATGTAACAGGTTAAACTTACTTGATCTTGATCATTAGGCTCATCGGAAAAGTTGACAAGTCCGATGGCAAAGAAAATATTTATGAAGTGAATCATAGCAGCTGATGTCCCTTGCTTCATGGCATCCATAAACCAAACCTTGACAGGCCTCCGTGGTTGTTCAAAATGCCATTTTGCATATAGAGATGACAACGCAATGAAGCCAAGAAGCATTTGCACGGCGTCGTCTGTGCGATCCGCTAAAAGTGTGCATCTAGAGCTCATTCGTACTGTGAAGTTAATTTGTAACTGAAGTCACTGCTTAATACGTTAGATCTCTTTTACTTGAAATTCTATTGGTGGAAAAATAGAAATAGCTATCATGTCTCTGGATCTCCGTACATTTATGCTATCAGAGCTTTTTACTTGGTTTTTCGAATTATTTCGTTCCGTTGACACTTTAAGACCTCCATTGCATCATTTCTGCAATTGTTATGACGCTGCAGATTTATGTTTGCTAATGACAAAAGATCTTTTGTTACGCATGGCAAAATTTCGATTAGGAAAATTAAACTTATTAATGAAAGGTAAAATATTGTTTAAAATGGGGTGTTGGCTGCATTTACGAAGTGTTTTATGATTTCTCGCAGTGCTTGAATCACATGCACTTCGCTCTATTTCGACTTTCACCATAACGCCGTACAGCTGCAACCATTTCACGCTTTCGGGAGGCGCTTCGTTCTTATAAACAAAATTCGACTGGATAATCCTCATTGCATTTGTTTCGTAACATAACAAAAATATCAAATTGTCGGTAAAGTTGTCTAATATTATGCTATCTCAATTTCAATGTGATTTTTCATTGTCAAATAGTACAATGTAAGCTCTTTAATATGTCAACCCACATAATAACTTTTAGCAGTATCTACTTAGTTCAAAATTAGTATTGCAATATTAAAAAGGATTACTCATGTCGTCTTCACAAAAAAAGTATATTATTATTGCACAAAGATCGGCTTAAAACTAGTTCATGCGGCCAATACAATTGGATGCGTTGCAGTCACAGCGAATGGCTTCGTCTTCGATCGGAAATTTATAATCATACGTCACTTCGTCTCCAGCAGCGATCGCACGTTTGGCAAAAATTACAATTTTCTTTTCTCCTCCTTCCACTACCACAACACGTGCAAACGCCTTTGGATCACACGAATGATTGATAAATCGAGCCAAGTTACCACAGCGAGTAGCATCGATGATTGTTTGGTCATCCAAGCGAAACATGTAGCAACTGCCAACGCCTTGTTCTTCGTAGCGTCGTTCCCGCTCATCTGCCACACTTTGACCAATGATCTGTCCTTGATATTCGACAATCATCTGTCCTTCACTCACAGCCTCCTTCATAAACAATCCATAGCCATGAATTGTTGACTTGCGTACAAACATCCGCTCATCAAAAGGTCGACGTCGAAGTTCTCGGTACTGCATTGTGATCGGCAAATGTTCGATATCCATTGCTACTCCGCTGGTAGCTCCAGATACAGCCTCAACTGTCACTTCTTTGCTCAAAGCTTGGCGTCGCGGCATTATCTTGGCTTTCTTGAAAGCACCAAACAAGCGATTGCCTTCAAAGCCATCTGTTCGAGCACAGCCAGAAGACTGCCATGCACGCTGTTCAGCCCGTGCGAGTTGTTCCAAGATACGTTCGGCCGTCTGAAACGCCTCAGGAGACGGTAGCACGTAAATAAACTCATACGGCTCTTCCTTGTCGTCTATCACTTCGAGGGAAGCCATAGTATGCACTCCACTCGTCTCAGACTGCTCCATTCTGTCGTGGCTGCGTTTACGAGAGCCATATCCCCACGATGCAGCGGCACAAGTAGCCAAGGGACTTTGTCCTTGACGCTGTTGCTGCTGTCGAATCCTTCGTAACACCGCGCGTCGACTTACTGCAGTCGTAGCAGCATACGGAAGCTCTTCAATCTTGTGAAGGATTTCAGGCAGGCCAAAGCCAAAGAAGTAATCGCCACTCAGAGCAAACGAAAACCAAGAACTACGCTTTAAAAAAGGATTGCGCTCTGTCTCCAACGTTCCAGGACATCCCACACTTTGCGTACCAAAACCTCGTTGCTCTTCATACAGTGAGACAATACGGCTACGCAGCTCGATGAGCGCATCTTCAGGCGTGGAGGCGATGATAGGTCTATCTTGAGCGTCTGAAGCGATAATCTTAAACACAGCGCGTGGTCGACGTCGCTCTTGTTCAAAATCGTTTGTTTTCCAGTCATCATCGGCGACGCCGTTTTCTACTCGATTTTGACGTCGAGCACGCCGCTCCTCAATCTCAGTGCTTGAAACCACACATTCGTAAAGACACCGCGTTGCCAAGGATTGTGTACTCCAGAAGATGCGCGTACTGCGGTAGCCAAGTGGATAAAGTGCGGTTCGCGTGTGAAAACTTGCGTTACCCACAAAAATGTGACCGAGAGAATGAACTGTAAGCGCACCCACACGGTAACACATCGGGCGAGGCTTAATGCCACGTTTTAGCTCCGCTCGTTTCTTTTTTTTCAAATCAGATACTGCGAGAAGGGGGGGATCACTGAAAAGAGAGCGACGAGGCTCAGGTCGAGGATTGACCACCGGCAACTCGCATTCGGACTGCACCACCGACATCACTTCATCTCCAGAAATTTCAGTTGTTTTATTCTCTTGGTTTATTGGCGCACCTTCATCTTGTGACTTCAAATCACTTTCAGCAGTTATGATGCTGTCAATAGGCATAGTAGGCATTGGTGTTATTGTCGCTTCACAACTTGCTGAGACTTTGCATCCAGTTTCATCCGCAGAGCTCATATCATCCAACTCAGAGCTATCATTGCTTTTGACCGCTGCATTTGACATACCTCCATCGTCAGTTGGTGAGTCTGCGTTCATAATCGCAGCTGACATAGTCGCAGCCTCATCTGCTGGCTTCACCTGTACAAGCTCATTGTTTTTCATAGGTTTTTCACCAACCCTTTTTGCCATCATGTCTAGATGCAGCACCAAAGGACAACATGTCTCGCCGGTCATCAAAAACGCCACGCCTGCATCTACGGCACATGGAAAGTGGTAGTGCCGTGTGCATCGTGCAATCGCACACCCGATCGTTGCACCCATCAAACCGCATGCATCGCATCTAATAAGACGACTGCGATGCTTAGCCTTACTGCATCTGTGCAAGACGCCTGCTCCATCTTCGTTAACTTCCATTGACCATAGTGCACAATTGACATGGACCCATGTCTCTAATTCGGTGTACAGCAAGCGTCCACACGCCGAGTTATCACCAACCATAAAACATAAGGCACAAAATCGAGAATCGTCAAAAGGAGCTGCGGTTTCACTCGTTGGCCACCCATGCAAAGGAGCAACAGTCGTCATATCTACACGATTAGAACTAGATCGAGCTATCATAGCAGGCGTCACATGTTTGTAATCATTGGAATTCGTTTCTACAGCAGTGGATGCGACGACTTTGCTCGTCTTCACATTTGCTGCCAATACCTCATCTTGACTTTGGTCCTTCACTTCGGCGTTTGACGAGCATGTCCCAAACCCAAAGACGTTCTGCTCAGAAGTTGGGGCATGCACAAGATGCCTCTTGCTTACCCGACGATCATACTGATCCTTAATCGTCGCGATCTCCGCTTCCAATTCAAGTCGCGGTTGTGCTACTTGACCATCCAAAATCTCGCCACTTCGTAGTCGCTGTAGTAACATTTCGTCGAGTTTTCGGTTTGCCGTCCCAGTGACTGCGTCCTCATCGCTTGACAATAAGTGAATAACCACCTCGGGCAGCGGTCGCCATCCGTACAACAAATGAATGCACGCCAATAGTGCGGCACAGCTGGCAGCTTCCGACACGATCATACAAATCGCGCTCGCGTCTTTGCGCGAATTGAGACCCACCGCTTGTTTTGAGTAAAAACTCGCCGTTTTTCGTGCCTGGCGTCGCATAGCCACGCGTGGTCCACGCATATATCTTTTAAATCGCATATACCGATTAGCTTTACGCAACAACCAGTCGGGAACCACCAAATGAGACTCGTCGAGCTCTTGTTGTTTGGTAAATCGGTACCAATCGCTTTGAAAGTTCAGACTACGGTACGCAAAATTGCGCAGACATTCTTCACCCAGACGGAGGACATACAAGTACACGGCAGTATTGTCCGCTAAGCGAATCCAGCGCTCCACCTGGGCCAGCTGCCTGTGCGTCTCTTTCCAGCTGGAATCACACTGAGAGCGCTTGCGCTGGATCTCGGCAATCAGCACCTGGCAACGCCAGCCTTCGCCATCTGCAATCTTTTCCAGAACGTGGTGACGGTTTTGAGGACGACAAGCAACGCACACGTACACAGCGTTTGGATCATTAACCAGAGTTTCATAGCGTTGGGGATTGGCTTTCAGCGACGCATCACAAGGAGGATGAACCCAGCGTTCACATGCATCGCATTGCATGAGCTCTTCTACATCAGCGGCCCACTTGCGTCGACAAAGTGGACATCTTTCTGCATCCTTTTTCTTATCGAAAGCCGCGGTAGTCCACACTTCAGTCAATAGTCGAGTGCGCTCCTTTTGTGCTTGAATGTCACGCGCATTCTGGTTGTAACAGTGCAGACACTTAGACCGTTCGTAACTGTACATACGTTCCAGAACCGACAGATCATCTTCATTAGAGTCTCCCAAGTGCTGGCTCTTAAGCCTGTCGCGTGATGTATCTTCACACGTTGTACACGTCACACAGTTGGCACAGTAAATGAAAGCTGTCTCATTTTCTCTCTTTGAATTACATGACATTTTGATCGCCGGTCTCAAACAAGATCCATGATAGCCACGGTCACAATGTTTACAAACCAAGAGAGACTCAGCGTTCGAAAGTGCCAGTGTCTGGTCATTATCTCCTCCACTCGTTTGCAAGGATGAGGCTGGATCGTCCACGTTGCCAGCCGTTGCAGGAGGACGCTTCGAATTGCTGTTCGCGCCAAAAACTGTTCCTGGCTGGCCACAAATCTCGCACATTTTGCAGTTAGCACACCGCCAGTACGCACGGAAGTGATCATTGTCGTGAAGCCGATCAGCATTCATTCCAGGGATACAAAACCAGTGGAACCCTTCCCCACAATCGACACAGAAGATATATTCCGTTGAAAGACCCGCGCTTCCACACACGGTACAGAGATCTAGCCAGCTGTAAGTATGCGCTGACGTCCGGGTCTGTACGATCAGAAAACGCGATATAAGCGACCGTAAGGTCGCCATTCGAAGCTTCGTCTGAAACTCACAGGCCTCATTTGTCATAACACTCCGACGATCTGGAGTCAAGGCTAAAGCTGAATTACTATTGGAGTCAACACCAGCACTGCCGCTCGTTTTATCTTCATCTCGTTGGGTTGATTCTGTCGAGATCGAGCCCTTCCGTTTCGCCACTGTGTTCTTCAGTATTGGAGCTTCCGATCCGACTTCACTTAATATGATGCTACCTTCCTGTACCCCATTGACTCGGTCCGATCCTGTATCTGATCCATCATCGCCATCACCATCTTCATCTTCATTTAAATCTTCATCCTCGCCAGCTTCGCCAATATTGTCAAGTGCATCGCCCGACTGAGGCTTGCCTGCCAGTGCCGAATTATTGGGCAATTGTCGCTTGGCCGCGACCTTGAGCGCGTCGTAGTGACGTCCGCCACGCTGTTTCATACGCGCTTTTGGTGCCGTTTGTCGAAGAATACGCTGTCCTTGTCCGTAAAATCGCCACGCTTCTCGCCAAATTAGAAAATCTCGTTCTTTTGTATTAAACGTGACAGCATTCAAGCACATTAGTTCAAAATCGTCCCGAAAGGAGCGAAAGTTGACGTTTGTGTACGCTCCATCCAAAATCTTTTGCCGCATAGTGCTTAAGTCCATTGGTGATTTAATGATCTCAAAATATGTGGGTGCGATGGTCTCTGTCACAGGCTCTTTAAACAGATCAAGCTTATCTTCACTTCCAAGACGATGAAGAATGTGCAGCATTCGAACCTTACGACACGTCAGACACTCGTAATGATGTAACACTTTAGAATCGTAGTCTGCTTGGAAACTTAGTGAGCGTGCAAATTCTTCTTCCATCTGTTTGGCCGTCTTGACCGCCCCGTCTTCTTTATTCAGTCCGTAACTATTACCAAGTGCCACACTGCGTTCCTCCGATGGACTGCGACTACCCACTGGAGTCCTAAAACTCGAGACCGATTCGGAATCAGCCTCACGACTTGCGGATTCAACATCCGTCACAACATCGAGAGCAAATTCGCTTGTGCTGCTAAATGCGTGAAAAGCTGGATTAGCGTCTGGCTCGCAGGCTGCGTGAACCCAGTGATGACACATTGAACAATTTAAAAGATCCACTTGCACCGCCAGGGTGTCGTCATCAAGGACAAAGTTGCAAACACTGCAAAAACGGTTCGCCTTATAGTACGGAATGCACTTTGTGCATAGTGAAGCGGGTTTAAGAGGTAGACGCCACTGTGACCAGCGCGGCTTCCACTCAAATTCCACAACCGGACAACCCTCATCGCGGCATCCAGCACACACCGTGCACTCACTGCAAACAAACGGAATTCTAAGATCCGATACAAGCACTGTTCCGTCGTCTGGGCTTACAAGGGAAAGTGGTGCATGCGGTGGGTCACAACACGTCGAGTGAAATCGCCGATCGCACTTAACGCATATGACCAGATCTTCCTTTTTATTACGATTGTCAATGTCTTGAGTGTCCTCCCTGTCTTGACAGTCCTCTGCATTGAGCAAACAATGGCTACACAAACCATCTCCTTCGTGTGTCCCGGCAGCTGCCGAGTCAGTATTTAAGCAATGGATCCCAGTCTCATCGATAATCGCTTTTTCAAGCATTTTCTTCGACTGGAACTCACCAGGAATGCCACCACTTACGCCCGAACCATCAAGCAAGAGTAGAGTCGCCAGCTCACCAAACGAAGCACCGTCCTTCAAATAATACTCGACGCCATCTGTACCTTGAAGTAGATCCACTAGAATGTCAGAATTAGCAATTGTGTCATTGAAGTCAGCAATATGATGCTTCTTCGAGTCGATGTCAAACTTCGTCACTATGTAGTTTCCTGCCAACAGGCGCTCGTTGAACGAGCCCGATGACGTGATAACAATTGTTTTATCAACCAGCACATGAGCGACTTGCGTGCAACGATCTATCACATTCAAGTGTCTGGAGCTCGGCCGCTTTATTCCCTTAGCGGGTTCCATATGTGCCGAAGTGGCTAATATTCGTCTAAATCCAAGTAGTAATGCTTTAAAAGCGCGATTAAGCTGGTCTGTTTCAGCTTGTAACTCGTGTTTTGCGCGTTCGATTGATCTAGACAGCTTTGTTGACTCAACTTCCTTCGTAGTTGACGTCGTAAGGTCATCTAGAGGCGGCACAAATCGCTTCATACTTCTACACAAATGATTCGGAACCCAACATGCTACATTTTCGCTAGCAGCGAAGATTCGAACGAATTGAAAGTGCCCACGAGCTGTAATTTCATCCTCTTGTGTCGGTGTGAGCAGCTTCTTTGCATACGCATTGATATGCAAGATCTGTGCTGGCCACCACCGGTTTTGCTGTACTGGGGCTTTGACGTAAACCATTGTGCGCGTTCCAATGACCAAAGGGAGCGCATAAAGCGGTAGCGACGCGATTACACCATCATCAAATCGGATTGTATGATGCATAGAAGAATGCGTCGATTGAAAAGCTAAAATTCGTCCCATAACCCAGTGCTTGTCCCACTGCAGGAAGACTCCCACACTTTTACCAACAAGCTCGTACATACGACGTCGCTCTTCATGTGAGTTTGGCGGATACCCAAGACGGATAGACGCGTCAATATCCATGACCTTGGCCGCTGACGCGCGCAATAATCGACCATAGACTTGCATTTCCAGCACCATTTGCTTAGAAAAGCGTGGTCGCTTCTTTCGACTACGCTTTAGAGCTCGAATACATGGTTTGCAAACCCAAGGACGAGCAGGAATGGCTGAAGCTTCATCTGTACCAAGTACGTCCAACATCTTAAATTCTCCGAAGCAGATGTCGCATACAATGAGGATGCCACTTTCCTCGACGTCGTCTATGTTGCTTCCAGTCAACTGATCATCCGGGTCGGCTATGATAACACTCGGATTTATATAGCTCCAACCACTTGATTGTTTACTGTCTAATTCATATCGAGCGCTAGCAGATGACGGCACAAAGGTCAGTGGCTTTGGGATACGTACACATAAGTCAGAATTTTCGTCAGACACTTTCGTAGACGTTGATTGAGACGACTGATGAAAAGCTGAACTATTGTCAGAAGCAATGTTCTCGGTCTTGAAATGTTTGATAGCCTTGAGATCTACTTTCGCTCCAGTGACTCGACTTCGCTTCCTGCTCTTAGTTGCTGTTAATGACTGCGGAGCGGTAGGCACAAGTCGTCGACGTGAATATCCTACTTGCAAATTGGAACAGGCTTCACACAACAGAACGCCATCTACAATTCCACTTGGACGGTGCAAGCGATCAACAGTACTGCCACCACCTTGAAAGATCGTATCACACCCAGCACACTTTTGTACACCATCTGATGCACGTGCATCGGTGCAAGCAGGACAGAACCATTCACCTTCCGGTATAACGAGTAAAGGTGGGTCTAAACTTAACGGATCAAATTCGTGATCGCACCCATCGCATAGCAGAACTGTGACGATCACCTCATGCTTTAAAGTAGTCGGCACTGTATTTTGAGCCTTATACTTAGATTGCCCACCTGCTTCAATATTCTCATTGCAACCCTTTTGTGAAGTACCTTGGGTCGCAGAGATGCAAGCTGGACAAAACCAATCACCACTCGGGACCTCATTAAGTGGCGGATCCAGTGCCTTCATATCGTATTCACAATCGCACAGGTCACAAATCAATAACGTCACGGATTCATATGTTACATTAGACTTGATATTGCCACGATTTAAGGCACAATCATTACAAAACCAATCTCCCGGCGGCACACTCGCCATTGAAGGGTAAACACTGGCCATATCATACTCACGCTCACATTCATCACAAACTAGCAGCGTCACTAAAGCAGGTGAAGTTGTAGCGGACGAACAGTGTATGCACGACCACTGAGTCTCGTGAGTATCGTTCAAAGGCGCTATCGCAAGTATTTCTTGCAAACTCACGTCTGTATCTTCACCATCACAAAATTCTTGTAAACAAAACTTTTGCTTGCAGGTGCAACACTCATTATATTTCTTGGGCACATTGTTATCATTTACAAGTAATGCAAGCGTGCGCGTTTCAATAGATCCATCAATGATCGGTTCATTATTGGCTAATGAACATCTAGCGCACCACTTCGATGCAGTTTTCAGTGATGTGCAACGTCTCTTTTTGCTGATACCATCATTAATTATTTTTCTCACACTTACTTCATCATCTTTGGCTTCAAATCGAGCAACACAGCGATGATGCAATTGGGCATTGTGGCACTTAAGACACGTCTCTTGATCTTCAGCAGCAATTTGAACCTGTCGACAAGTCGTACACACTTCTACTGTCGATGACGACACTGTCCATCCCTTATTTCCATTATCTATCATGATCTGATCAAAGTTTTCCAGCGAGTTTTCACATTTTATGTGATTTTCAGGCATCTGTGCCTGTTTAACATATGGAAAAGCTACTGCTGGCACCAAAACTGGCAGCAGGTCATCGTCAAGTGAACCAACTTTTTCATGAACTAGTTTCTGTGTTTTGGAGTGACATCTAACGCATGTAAACGTCGAATCCCCTTGGTCCAAAACATTCCCCTGCTTCAGTAGACACGGAACGTGGTAAATGCCGTCGCATTTACAGCACCGAGCCGCTTGCGCACTATCTGACATTTCATTCGGTTTATCTGCAGATGTCTCTGAGATTAATGTGCCGCTTGTAGCAGTAAATGACGCTTCTACCAAGTCACATAAAGGTTTCTGATCGCTAGTAGTGCGCGCGCTCTGGTGAACAAATTCAACCGCATCTGCCGCGTAGACCATGCATATCATTTGCTCACATACAAGACATACGTATTCCATGCTAATTTAAGTATCACTGAGGCCTGTAAGATGCAGGCTTGCGCGCACAGAAACGTCTCTTGCCGAAGTTGGTCGCAAGAGGGGCAAAGAATTTCTATTTGATTAATTGACATGTAAGGACCGTGAGTACGGATTGGTTATAAATGTGCAATGACATCAAAAAAAAATAAACTTGACCAGCAATAAAACATTTAATGAGCTACAAAGCATCAGCACTGACGCTTTCATTCGTGCGGGAAGCAGCGGTACTTTGGTTCTTCACAAAAAGAAAGGTTCTCAACATGCAAATCATTAGCTGTACATCAAGCACTGATTAGTCGTCAACTAAGTAAGATGCCCCACTTAATCACTTTAGGGTATAATAAAGAAAATTAAGTTTATAATCCGATTTAATATCAAGGTGATAATTCCAACACGGTCTAAGAGGTGCAATTAGAATTGAACGAAAGCTCTTCGGCGGTTGGTCTACAACACGATAAGCGATTTTGCAAATTTTTCCGATTTTGATTGTGAAATTCAAGTATTTTGACAATAAAGCAAACATATTGCGTCATGCACGGACGTGTCAAAAGCATCGAACGCGAAAAGGAGCAACAAAAGACAGATGAACAGCGTCAGGAGGAGCTTTCAAAGGTGCGCATGTACCACGAAGTGGCTGGGAAAGTCCTCGACTTGAAACGGCAGCAGTTCTTCGAGCCCTCCGTGTTGCCCCTGACGAGCCACTTACTTCTGCTCAACCCCGAGTTCCACATGGTCTGGAACTACCGGCGCCAGACTATTGATGCGTTGGCCACAAAATCCGCAGATCCAGCTGCTGAATGGCAAGAATTAGCTAAAACTGAATTAAAACTGACCCTGGTAGGCTGGAGCTGATTTGTAATCAATGACAGCAGCACTATTTACCTTGTGGTAATATTTTGACAACAGGACGCTCTGCAGCGCAATCCCAAGTCGTATTCAACGTGGTTCCAGCGCAAATGGATCATTGATCACAGATTGGGGGATCTTCAAAAGGAGATCGGACTGTGTGACAAGCTATTAAATCTAGGTGAAAAACCGTTGTGAAGTTCTTGTGCTATTTAATTTATTTGATTCGGCTGTATTGTATTGTAAATGCCAGATGAACGAAATTTTCACTGTTGGAACTATCGCCGGCACGTGTGCGAGCTGGCTAACGTACCCAAAGAAGACCAATTGGCTTTCACAACACAAAAGATTGAGCAGAATTTTTCCAACTATTCTGCTCTGCATCACCGAAGTATAAATTTGCCAAAGCCATTGACGGCGGAAGTAATTTTCGACGAGATTGAACTGATACAGCAGGCAGTTTTTACAGAGCCGGACGATCAGAGTGCCTGGTTCTACTATCGCTGGTTGGTAACTTCCATGGTAGAGCTTGTGAAGTCGTCAGCTGAGAACGCTGTTGAATTCTTAAAAAAACAAGCTCAATGGCTCGAAGAGCTAGTGGAAATGGAAGCGGAAGCTAAGTGGGCAATTGTCACTCTTGCTGACATTTGTGGTCGCCTTGGCGTAATAATTAATGTTGGCGGATGGGAGGAAGCGAAGGTGCATTGTTTGGACTTGTATGATCGTGCTATCGCTCTGGATCCGGACCATCGTAGCTATTACGATGACATGAAGAGAAAATACTCTTAGTACAAATTTATTGAGTTTAATTTGTGTTTCTCAGTGAAAGAAGACGCAAGACTTGAAAGTTACTTTAAGAGATATACAAGAACGTCTCTTGTATCTTTCAGTGAAAATCAATTAGTTTAAATCTTATATAAATTGGAACTATGTGTACTGTTATTAATGTTGCTGTGTCTAAAGAAACAACTTGAGCGTCTCTTATGTCCTTAACCCTTCAATACGAAATAATATCTCAATCTGATCTACCATGGCACTGTTTAGATTGCCTTAAGCTGCCTACAAATCACCTTGTGAATAGCAGCATCTTTTTCTATCCGTCGGGATGCTACGCTGCACTTTGGTTTCTCGTTCTTTTCACTTTGTGTCTACGATTACAAATTGAAAATGGGAGGCTGGGCGGCAATGTTTTGTCCAAAAAATTGATCTTAGTGCTCAAGATGTGATGTGATTTGTTTCAAGGATAAAAGTATGGGGCGGGGACGTGCCCTGCTTCCTTATGACCGATTTCCAGAACATTAGGACGCTGGGAAAGTATTGTGTGAAAGCAATTTATAACTTTTACTTTGCCTCATTAAAAACTGGATTAGTCTAGTTCGATTATCCGTTTGCGTATCATAAGCGGCAGTGGCTTACAGACTGCAGCAATAAATCGCAAGCCGCAGTTTGGATCAATTTTTATTTCACTCAAATTTCGTTTCTTGGCATTTGGATCATGTTATGTTGGCTAAACCGAATCAGATGTTTTGACCGTCATTCATTTACAGTATACTACCTGCCAAGCGAAGTATGATATTCATCGCAAGGAACCGTAATCATTTCGTAAACTGCATGGATCTACGATCTGATTCATGATAGACAGGTGACAGGGCGAGTAATAACTGAACGAGCCGATTTCAAGTTCAGCAGCATTCACATTCACCACCTGCATGCTTGGCGGCGATCGCTAAAGACAAAGGACAACGGCGAGAAATGTTGTGACTCAGCTCATCCAAATAAGCGGTTGTCGGCCACGACTTCTAGCACACAAAATACATCCAAGTTCGTCTATGAGATGAAGTGTGAAAAGTGAAGTGTAATCGAAAATTGCAGTCTTCAGCGTCATTATTAAACTGCAATTTGCTGTGATTATTAAAAGTTTGTTATACATCCAAAGCGTGTGAGAAGATGATACACTGATCACACGTTTTTAGTTCCCGTCACGTGATCGGTGTATGTTCGAAAGACTGTCGAATTGTAAGCTGTTGTTGACAACAACGCATATTTAATTTTGTAAGCGTTCGACAAAGCGCCAGAATGACTTTGCAATGGTAGGATGCGACGCCCCTTCAATCTAACACTTTTCGACACTTTATCATCGCACACATTGACAAGGTATGTGAGTATTATTACTTTTTTTACTTGACAGTGAATAATTTGATCACGCTTATAAATTCGACTTTTATTCAGATATGATCACGCTTTTGAAGCGTAGGCGTGTTGTAACGAAGTTGTATCATTCCAGATTCTGACACTATGTGCCTTAGCCACACAATCATCATTTTTTTATCATATCTGAGCTCATTTTCGAATGTCCAGCGTTGCTGTGGCAGAAAATTGTCCCTATGCAATCATTCATCCGTTAAATTGTTGGAATAGTTGGCTAATCAATGAATTTTGCTATCTGTAAAAATCTGAAGTACCAAGCACAATACTAAAAATCCAATTTGTCTGGATACATCACAGGTTGCTATTGTCACATTGTCGCAAATATAAACATAACCTTTACTCGCAGATTAGATGCACTGACTCTCCATTTCGAAAAAATCAGGAAAATGATTTTCATTTGCGACCAGTCAATGACCTGGCATGTTAGATACGTATCCAAGCGTATTTAGTTATTCTATTGACATGACCATCGAAGCAAAAAAAAGCCACCACAAGGTTCGATTTCCATACTGCTGGTATCCAGCATTGTGATTAAATGAGCTGAATAGATATTCACGTCTCTATCAGTCAATTGTCGTTCTGTTTAATTCATCAAATTACCAGCGCCTTATCTTTCGATGAAATTCTGCATGCTTCTGAAGTTGAACTCCCGAACTCACCGTATGCTTTCCAAAAGGGAATTGTTGGTGTGGATAGTTCAACAATTTGAAACCTGTCAAAGAGTCCAAAGAACATACAAGGTCGAATTTAAAACAAACTAACGGCGCACAAGTCGGACACTCATGCGCAAAGAATTTTAAAAACTAACAAAGTTTTTAATTGATTCATCTACCAGTTACTATAATCACTTATGACTCAATGAACCCAGCCTTAAGTAAAAAAAAAGGTTTAGTACACTGTATGGGGCTTAACAATTACAAATTTCCAGCTGGAAACCGGATGCAAGAATCTCGGTGCATCACTTGACATTAAGTTGACTCAAGACTATAGTTTGGAGACTTGCGACTTCCAATACTTCGCCTGTCGAACGAGTAGTTATCATGGGATTATCTACAATCTGTTCGTTTAGCACTGTCGCAGACAATTTATACCTAAATGTCAATCGAAACGAGAACAATAGTACTGTTCTCCCATTCGAATATGCGAAATTCTCTGATTCTGGTTTCAATGGCTTTCATTTTTGAATTATTGCTGGCCATTGAAGACGAAGTCTCGACTGACTTGAAAAAAATACTATAGCGTGATGGAACCTAATGTGTGCACTGAAGGCAAACCCAAGCAACAAAGCTCTCAACATAGTGGCGTGCAATACACTGATGACCAGGAACAGCAATCTACGCCTCGGGCAAGTGACTATATGAACGACTTGCAAACTGAACCCCTTGCATCAAAGGAGTCACGTCGTCTATCATCACTTCGAAAGATTGCGCGTTCGTGGACGGTGCTCCGTTATCAGCTGGCACGCAACTTGTTTTCTGTGTCGCTTCCACTCCTAACGTCGAGATATGACATCAAGCTTGGAGACCTCTTGATCACGATACCGATCTGTGTGATCTATATCGTCACCACTGCAATCATGGCAATTCCCGATCGTAAAGTGGAAAGCACGGGGAACCCTCCCACTTATGGTCTTTTGATCGTCTTCCTCCTCACGGTCCGCAATAACTCCCCTCTCCTTCTGTTGACTGGCATCTCCTACGAGCGTGCACTGTTTTACCACAAATTATCGGCCCTCACAACGATTATTCTCTCGGGTCTGCACGGTCTTTCCTACATTCTCGCTCACAACAAAAGGGAGATTGCTGATCAGGTTAACATGGTCATTACAGGTACCATCGCATTTGCCGCAATGATGTTAATGTTTGGATTATCGCTGAATTACGTACGACGCCATTTTTTCGATTTTTTTCTTCGCTCACACTACATTCTCTTCATAGTCGTGGCGGTCTTTGCTGTTATTCACGGTGCTTCGACGGCCCTTATTGGAATAATACCTTGGATACTTGACATGGCGTTCCGTCACGCTTACCGTCCTCGCGTCTATGCTCGCGGTTTTGTTTTTCAAATGAAAGGATCACTTTTGAAGAGCCCTGTTGACGATATCGCTGGCAAGTGTTTGGGCATCATCGCTCGCGACCAAGTTAGCATGACAGCTCTTCCCGGTAAAGTAATTCGGATCCAGTTCCCACGCGTACGTAAGGATACTGGTGAAGTGTTCAATTACGTCGCGGGTCAGTATGTTTTCCTCTGCATTCCTACGATCTCGAGTCTTCAGTGGCATCCATTTACAATCTCATCGTCTCCGCATGAGTCGATGGTAACTTTTCATATAAGAGCAGAAGGTGATTGGACCTCCGCTCTTCAATCTCTCGTTGCTGCTTCATATACCACTGGTGTGTCTTCGCCTGTCGACATCCTGGTTGATGGTCCATATGGAAACATCTGTATTGATCTCGAGACTCGATCTACATACTCGCATTTTGCTCTATTTGCTGGTGGTATTGGAGTCACTCCCATGCGTTCGATTGTAAATCAGCTGCACCACGAGGCTCAAGAGGAAGGTCGTGCTAATATTGAACGTGTCCACTTCGTCTGGTCTGTTCATGAACAGGATTTGGTTCAGAGCTTTGTGATTGATGATCACTATTCTAATGAACACAAGGGTGAAAGTTACTTTCCGAGTGGTATCATCAACTCCCACAATGCTGTCTTTTCGACTGACATCTATATTTCTCGAACCGCTCGCACGGAGCACGACGTGGAATCGTCAAGTTTAGACCGATATTTGGAAGGTACGATCCGGTATGGTACGCGTCCCGATATCGCTGCTTCGTTGCGATTGATTGGCGAGCTAGCAAAGCAGAATGGAAAGAAACGAATTGCTGTACTTGTCTGTGGTCCACAGAGCATGGTACGTGACGTGATTGACAAGAGTTTCATGCTTTCGCATGAGATGAAGGTTCGCTTTGACGTTCACAGTGAAGTCTTCGAATTATAGAAAAAGGTTAAGCTTCGATCAGTGAACAGGTCTATTTACAGATTCTTTTGCCAATTTCTTCTTCATGTAGAGAAATAGCTCATGTTTTGTTTAGCATTATGTGAACTATTGAGATAAACTCCTATTGTGCAAAAAAATACACAAATCTCCTTTATCGCAAAATTTGCGATTTTATACACGTTTTCTAAAATCCAAATGGAAAATTACATCCATGCTGAGTAAAGTGGCAATGTTTTTTTTCTATCAAAGCTGGAAAAGATGTTTATTAATGGTCAGATAGAATATAAAGCTCAGCGGTGAGCATAAACTTAACATGCGTGTTCGTCATACGTGCTTTAAAACAAGTCATGTAATTCTTTCTTTAAAATTTCAGCTTCATTTGCAACGCAGACGCATTGCCAAACAGCATCATTTAATGCATGGAATGATCAAACTCGATGCCTTTGTAAGAAATTAGATATTATCCAGCGTTGTGCAGACTCAATACCCTGAAAGTCTTTCCAGATTTCCCAGCTCGCTTTGTCGTTAGAATTACCAATTTCATCTGAAAAAAACATTCTTCTATGATAGTAGTAGTACGGTATATCAGGCGAAAGGCTTAAGAAATTTTGTACCTGTCACATCATCAGCTGACATGTCAAAACCACATTTATAAGAAAACCTTCGTACACAGTGCCTTGAATCATATCAAACACATTTCTCCGTCAACTGACCGTAACTTTTGGCTTTAGAAGACTGTGCTGTTGAGTTTTGTATACTTAGTTCACATCGAGGCTAATATTGCCGCGATATGAGCTTCTGTCTTCCACTGCAAAAGCCACTTGTAGTATTCTGAATGTTTTGTAGCTTCAAATGCAGATATTAGCATAATATAACGTTCATCAATCCTTTGGGCAGCGTTTATTTTCAGGTTTCTTAGTGATATCGAAAAACATTCGTGAGGCCAAGACCACTGAGTCTCAATTCAGCTCATTAAGTGCTGCAGTGACCCCTGTTGCAATTGCTCAACCAGCAACAACAATCTTTTGAGTAAATAATTCATACTTTTACCATTGCATAAATTGGCTGCAGCCGAGATGACAATTGTGAGGCAAAGCTTCCACCATAGCTATAGCTTATATCTAAAGAGGTGACACCGCTCAAATAGACGTTGCCATTATATATGCTTCTTTGCTCTGGATCAACCATGTATCCGTTTCTTACTTATGCTCGATCTTCGCCACTACCTTAGCACAAGCATGCAAGAAAATATGCTTGAAGGCGGAAGGGACACGATCCCCAAGACAGGAAGACAAGCGCACGAGAGAAGAATGCATAAGCGTTAACAAAACTTTGACTAGAAAAGTAGTGCATCATTGAAATTAAGTAAAGGTCAAGTACATTAAGTATTGTGAGATAGCGGGCTGGAGTGCTAGATAATTACCAAACTTCTCGTGGGTGCCAAACTAGAATACGTGAGCTGTAGATGATCAGTAATTGCACTTTTAATACTACAGCTAGTGAAACTTGTGTTAGCATGTATTTCGAATTTATCAAGGTGATGAAGAATACAAGACTACTTTTTATATGAAATGTGGTTCCGACGTATTTCCTCATCTTCTAAAAGTAAACTTTACATTATGTTCGACTAAATTCTGCTTGCGTATCAGTGCAGAACTTGACAGCCTACAGCACTTGCATTTGGCTGCAAGAAGGTAGTTCACTCACTTAGGACAATGAGAAAAAAAAAGCACACTGATTTGTGAGCATTAAGGCACAACGATCTCATGCCGATGCTTAGTCTCGCTGTGATTTTCAACCTTTGTCTGTGATAGATGTCGTAGCAATTTGCCTCGTGATGGACCTTACGTTTTTCATCAGCTGAAACAAAAGTATTTTAAGGAGATACCACATTTACATCATTACCGTCCAGCTGACACCAACGCTTGCAAGCAACAAAAACGAATCCTGATTCAGTGCTGACAACAAAGCGTATGACACTTTGCTTGCTCTCATACTCAGCGATATTTGGTACTTATAATTCAAGACATAACTCATTTGTGTGTAAATAATATCTGAGAGCAGACAAATGTCCTCAGGCATTATAGTTCAGAATCCGCTGTTTCAAATGATAAATTGTAGGAAACGAGGAGATATTCGTCGTACTGAAAAGATAATTCGGGCTGACTTACCCTTTCACGTGACAGTCCAATGCAACAAATCAATCGAAAAGACGTCTCAAGGATTGTGGACTCTTGACTCTTGACTCTTGACGGCGTTTCGAAAGACTGTTGCTACGAGTACCACCTTTATTTCTGACCACAGAAGAGTTATGTAGCATTACACGCTCTTGACGTGAAATTTGACTGTCGTGCAGCATGGAGATCACTTTTTGTCACGTCGACATGAACATGCATCACAATTCAAAGCGGATCACCCGCGCAGTATTTGACTCAATGACCCCGAAGACAATTTACAATGGTGTTCCAGTTCTCGAAGGTGTTGATACTAGTACGCTCGCATGGTCATCACATGGACATACGTCGCATGAAGTTCCAATGTTGGATACTAAACGAAGAGGTTCTGCTACGTACAATATGGAAGACAGTGTCAACTCGATACCTGCTACAGAAGGGAGTTTTGTTCAATCAAGGCGAAAATTTCTACCAGGACCTTTTCAGCGATTGTTGCGCTCATGGATAGTCTTTCGATGGAAACTCTCGCGAGTTTGTTTCTCAGTGCCAGTACCACTTCTCACATCACTAACAAATCTAAAACTTGGAGACGTGTTAGTCACGATTCCCATTGTTCTAGGAACGGTCGCATACACTGCACTGCAAGCGAAAGCGCGACAGGTTGTAGCCACGGGAATACCGTCATCCATTGCTTTGGCTTTTGTCTTTGCCTTTGCTGTTCGAAATAACTCAGTGTTACTTGTATGTACGGGCATTCCTTTTGAGCGCTCTCTCTTTTATCACAAAGTGGCAGCATTGGTCACAATCGTCGTCTCAGGTCTACACGGATGTGTCTCTCTATCAAATCAACACAAAAGTGAGCGAACACTCATGAATTACCATGTTCTTAGTGGCATTGGAACACTGTTTGCTTTGTCTCTCATCTATTTACTATCATTAAACTTTATACGACGGAAATTTTTTGAATTCTTTGTTCGAGCTCATTGGCTTCTCTTTCTTGTCGTGATAGTTGGTGCTTTATTCCATGGTGCAACGCATGTGGTCCTCGGGGTCACACCTTGGGCAATTGATATGCTCTACCGCTTAGGGTATCGATCTCGTGTCTACACTCACGGGTCTTTCCGTACTTCCCACAAGGGCGTGATTGCACATGATCAGATCTCTATTTGTGCACTACCCGGAAATATTACTAGAATCCAATTTCCACGAGTTCGACAAGATTCAGGTGAGACTTTTGTGTACGAAGCTGGTCAGTACGCCTTCATCTGTATCCCTTCAATCTCTCACTTTGAGTGGCATCCCGTTACAATTGCATCCTCACCGCACGAAGCGATGGTGACATTTTATATCAAAGCATTGGGAAAGTGGACGACGAAGTTATTGGCTGTAGCACTCAAGCGCGAAGCTTGCGCCATGAGACTAGACGGGCCGTCCGTATTCAATCTATTCGTAGATGGACCCTACGGTAAGCTCTCGATCGATTTAGCCTCACCGACTCTGTACTCACATGTCGTACTATTTTCTGGTGGTATTTGCATGACTCCAATGCGTTCGATTGTTAATTGGCTACATCACGAGTGTTATTACCGAAATCGTGGGACGATTCCTCATGTCAGATTTATCTGGTCGGTTAAAGAGATAGAAACAATTCGAAGTTTACTTATGCGAGACGAACCAAGACGAGATAGTTGCCTTGAAGTGGATGAAGTAGCGTCTTACATTCCACACATTCTTGCTCACCCACAGAACACAAATCAAGCAACTGATGCATTCGTTAGTGAAATTTATTTAACAAGAGACGATATGAATGTAGAAGCTCAAACTTTTCCGGAGCTTATCAACTGCTTGCATACCGAAATTCGACCTGATACAATCGCTATACTTCGTGAAATGGGTGACGAAGCTAAGAACAGTGGTAAGGATCGAGTCGCTGTGTTAGTCTGTGGACCGCCTGCTCTTGTCGATGATATTCTCTACGCAAGTCGGAAACTTGCTCGAGAGTTAAAAGTGCACTTTGATGTGCATCAAGAAACATTTCAACTCTAGATGGTTTAAATGGTCTGTGAAGTTCAGTGAGTCCCGATTTGTGTTCATGCTCAAAAGTTGAGCATTTAGATACTATCAAGTTTATCATGTCTAGTACGAACTCGATGCTAAGGTATTATATTATAGTCTCTTTAAGAAAATCTTGCACTGTGTATTACTATTGACATGCAAGAGTAACGCTATTGATAAACAAGAAGATACTCGTATAATGCAGAGACCTCAGTACTTTTCGGCAACTGCAAAACCATGCGTCACATTCTGAAGGCATTTAATGAGGTGGCTATCACACATACGGGTGCATGGATAATTGAGCCCTATTGGCCTCTCGTGGCATTCGGGTGTTGAGGCCACGGCTACACCGACGAGTTTATCACTCAGTACTAGCACTTCTACAACAGTAATAGTATTCACTGATATGAGCAAAAGTGCGATTTTTTGATACGAATATTTAAGCGAATGTTACACTTGCGATTAAATTTTTTGACCCACTGACAGTTAAAAGTATTTTTCACTTTTTAGAATTTTTAGAATGTATAGTGTATGCATCTCATTTCGACGCTTTCAACCATTGCGGCTAATTCATACGTCAGTTGCTAATCAATGCTTGATTTGTTCCGACTACATGCCTTCGTCGGCCTACTGTTTACGTTTCAAGAAGTCTCGGCTATTTGCAGTAGCTGGTCAAATCGTTATCAAACCAATCTCAAAGGTGTTTGTGTCTGCAACGAGACACAATGTGATACAGTCTCGAATGACTTTCAAAATCTAGTTTATGGACAGATTGGTATCTATACGACATCGAAGGCTGGGGATCGCTTTAAGTACAAGGTAGTATCAGTGGATGTAATCGCTTCGAGTAACCCCACTTTCGTAATTGATGTCACAACGCAGTACCAGAAAATGATTGGATTTGGTGGATCCTTTACAGATGCGGCAGCTATCAATATTTACAAGCTATCGTCAACTTTACAGCAAATGGTATTGGATCAATACTATTCCGAGAAGGGTCTCCAGTATTCGCTAGGTCGTGTACCCATCGGCTCGACGGATTTTTCAACCAGTATCTACTCATACAATGACAATGCAGATGATCTAGCTCAGGAACACTTTTCCATCGACGTGGATCGCAAGTTAAACAAGATTGCCTTGATTCAACGGGCTCTACGCACTTCTAAACGCAGTATTAAGCTATTTGCATCTTCATGGGCGCCTCCTGCTTGGATGACAACGCAGAACACAACAATAAATTGTGCACTCAAAGGTCATCCGGGTGAAGCATATTGGCAATCGCTTGCTCTGTATTACTCTAAATTCTTTGATGCGTACAAGACAGAGGGAATTGACTTTTGGGCTATGACGGTCCAGAACGAGCCAATACGATCTATTTTACAAATGTCAGCATGGCAGTCGTTGCGCATGTCGGATTCCGTACAGCGTGACTTCGTCAAGCTGAATCTGGGGCCGACAATGTCGACTAATCATCCGAAGCTCAAGATTATTGCTGGCGACGACCAGAAATCTGGTATACTGGATACACTTGCTCCTTTCAAAGATGCAGACTCGCTCAAGTACATTAGCGGTCTGGGCGTCCATTGGTATAGCAATTTGGACTTTTTCCTTGCGGAAATGAGCGGGGACTTCACAAAACTTTCAGCATTTCACAAAAGATTTCCAGAGGTTTTTATGCTTGCAACAGAAGCGTGTGAGGGCTTTCTACCAAGTTGGCTGGGTACTGGCTCGGGTCCGTCTCTTCAGGATGACAAAAAGAGCTGGAACCGTGCTGAAAATTACGGCCGCGATATCATTGAAGATATCAATAATTTTATTAGTGGCTGGACCGACTGGAATCTCGTACTGAATTCCAAGGGTGGGCCCAATTGGGCGCAAAATTTCGTGGACGCTCCGATTCTTGTGGACGAAGACACTGGTGCCGAGTTTTACAAACAACCGATATTCTACATTATGGGTCACTTTTCGAAATTTGTTCCTTTTGGTTCACGTCGCATCAAGGTTTCAAATACCAAGACTCTCTCATTCGTCCATCGCACGGCGTTTGTAACTCCTGACAATCGTGTAGTCATGCAATTTTTGAATCGTGGCGACGTGGACGTTACAGTGAGCGTTAAGCAAACCGATGCGAAAACTTTCAGATTGAAGTTATCTAAGCACTCAATGAAGACTGTGATTCTTCCTGCATCCGATGACACGAAAATTCGGATCTAAGTGCTAATTTGGATTGTCGCCGAAGGCCAAATTTCGTACCAAACAATTACCTCGTAGTTACTTTTAAACTCTTTGATAATGCTGCTCTTATCTGATTAAACAAACTAATGTTTGTGTGGATAACTTTGTACTGCAATCTCACCGCAAGAATCTGTCTTGAAACTTCTGGCGCCTGCATGCTCCCAGACTACACTTTAATTTATGTCTTGCTCGCGTTTCGTGTCTAGAATAGCCGATAGCTTGATATAAGATCTAACAGCAGTTAATGCTGACAAAAGGGCCTTTTGTTTACTTGACTTGTGCTGTTCATGTCAGTCACCTTGAAAATTTATCATTTATCAAGGTACCACGTCTTACTATATCTTAATCGAGAGCTTCCGAATAATCTTCAGACTCTCGTATCTCTCGTTCTTCTTTTGCGTCTACAATCTCAACAATCTTGTTCAAAGTCAGAAACTACACCAACTCAAGTACTTATGTATAGCTTAAAGCATGTTGAGCTGCCATTTTGCAGCACAATTCGTATAATCTAAGCACTACTTGACGAACTTATGTCAACATCGAGCGTGAAATGAGCTGGTCAGCCGAAGTGGGATTTGGAGGCATATCGAACTTCGTGTGGCTGGGCCATAAACATTAGGTCGAATGTGATCAATAGCCCCTATCTCGCCCAACTGGTTAATCTCATCGAAAAAGTTATTTGTTATGGTCAGGGAATGGCTGGCAGCCGAGATAAACATATGCACTACGCCAATACCAGAGACAAGCGGAGCACACACGAATCAGGTGAGGCAAGCGATTAAGATATGCAAACAACATCCCAGAAATTTGCAATTCCTGCGATTTATAAGACTAAGCGGTAGTTCTACATCGGACCGTTCGCGGTCGTAACGAAGAAGAAAACTACTTATACTTTCGATATCTCAACCGAGAATTTGAACAGTCCAGCGTTTTATGAGAGCTTGCTGAAGCCATATCAAGAATCTGATCTTACGAGCTAATTGGACCAGATAATCGTTTTACAAACGGAAAATGTCCGTCCTATACGTGTAGCTGAGCTACTCTCTGCTCTCATGCAGCGAAGTGGGTCAGAGTGGTTCGGAGTACCTCGAGGCAAAGGTAGTCCGATGGCGAAGCTCGGAGAACGAGTGAAAAATCCGGATCATCTCAGGCTAGTACACACGCCGTAACTATTGAGGATAGTCAAAATCCCGCATTGGTCGTGGGAGTACGCTTGAGCTAGCTGCAAAAGAATTGGACTACGCCAGCACTAGTCGATGATAAAGGGTCGGTCCACTCTCACGTGGAAAGTCAAGTGAAGCGGCCGGTACACCAGGCTATCATCGAGATACGCTGGACTGGATGGATAAGCACAGTCGTGAAAACGTGTGGGTGTATATGTTTTCACGGGACGATTCCTCTTGTGTCGTGGCCACTTACGACCTAGGTTTATCCTCAGCCATTGTATCTTATCGTGGGGAGGTTGGCTCATTCGTCGCAATACGGCCCAACTTGTATCAGACGACCCACCTTGCGGTGAACTGGACCCAGGTCGATAGCTGAACAATTGTATGATGGAGACGAGCGATGCTTTCAATAGCAAGATTTATGGTATATATTGTAACCTTGACAATTTTGTCAAGTTTTATACTGCAACGGGGTTGTCGTAGCTAGTAGCTACGAGGAAGCTAAGCTAAGGTTACCGACCACACGTTCCATACCAGGATCAGTACGAGTGGAGCGGATCGCAATCCACTATCTCCAAGAGTACTTAAAACCTAAACCAAGGTAAAGGCGCTCTTCCGTTCCCAATTTAAACTGTTTTTGATTGTTTTGTTTGCGGCAGAGCCTCCTATATCTACAAATAGTAATATCTAGTTAATATGCTGAATTACTGTCAGTCCCGCCAAGTAGTGGCTTCTTGTTATGTTGTAGCCACACCACTGTGTGATTGCTCCAACTCGTGTAATCCACACCTTTGCACGGTCACACCATCTCGTGTGACATACCCTTTCATACAAGGGTACGTGTAAATCCCTTACACTCCCCCATAAATTTGTGAATATCCACAGCTCACATTTAACTGCGCCTCGTACGAGGCTCGCGTGTCTGAGACTCCGTTACGTCCATGAAAACACCATTGGATATTCTCCGCTCAAAGAGCCTTGTGTCTATGACACAAAAAACACCCAGTCTAGCTGGTTCCGAGGACGCCCGCGAGCAGAGCCCTTTCTTCGTCTTCTGCACGAGGTGCATCTACGCACAATACCGCGGCTTCAAGGAAAGCACATACCCGCCCCGTGCGACGGATTTCCGCGTCGAGGATTCGGAGGAAGTGGTTATAGAGTCCGATACTCCTTTCTCAGCATGGGAGGGCGAGGTGCACCAACGGCGCGACGTGACGGCTTCCGCTCGGCGGATACCGCTACTGAAGCGGACGCGATCAATCGATCGTTCGGCGTCTACGTAGTCGGGCCCCTGGCCACTACACACGCTGAGCTTGATCAGCATTGGGCTCTTCGAGCTCGCTTTTTTGGATCTTAGAAATCCTAATGGATCGGTACCGCACTCGACTTCGAGCTAAAAAAGGAGGTGCACCTGCTCCGGCAATGCTTCCATCCGTGTGGTGCTCGCCCCTGGCAAAACCACTGCAGATGGTGAGGGGCATTTTGAGCTATGAACGCAGCGGCACCAAAAAAATTTCTCGCTGTCTACCCTACAGCGAAGCCACAAGGAAGTAGACGTGCGCGTTGAGTGCCATCTTAGATTTGAGTTTGCCAATCCAAGTCGCAACGCCGTCGTCCTGCGTATTGCCTCCCTACAACATACGGAAATATCCATAATGCTCCCGCGAGCTCAGTGGTCTCTCACGCGGCTAAGTCTACGACCACAGCAGCTCAGGGTCATAGTTTGAACTCCTCTCATGGGCCTTCAACTGACCGGGCTACTGCCGAGAAGCGTGGGGCGCACGATAACGCAAAGGGTCATGATCTTTCTGATCGTGTGCGTCTACGACGTCTGGGCAACTTGCCGAAGTTGCACCTCACACTCCCAAATTTTTCGAAGTTTGGATATCCCCCATCGCTTCACAAGATATTGGGTTGAACCCGTCGGCGTCGTCGACTTACAAGGCTCTCCACGTGGTATTGATCGCCACGACTCATATCGAGAAGATTCGGCGGCGGACGATCACGACTTGGTCGATCGCCGTCCGGTGACTCGCGATGCACTTCAAGCGTTGTAGGAAAAAGTCCATCGTCATCGGCACTCTGCCGAGCATCTCTCCGAGGTCGCCTACCGCTGTGCGGAAGGCTCCGAGAGCCTGGATCACTACTACCTGCGTTGAGAATTATCGTGCACTGTCGAGCAGGCGAATACGTCACTTCGTGCGACGGTGGAGCGCCTTGCGCCGTTGGACACGGAAATCGTTGCACTCCGTGCTCAAACCAGTTGCTGGTTAAACGTTTGGGTGTTCGAGCACCTGTGGTGCCGCCCGCATCCGCGTTCACTCGCGCCTAATTCCGGTACTGCTTTAGCAAGCCCATATAAAACACCGGGTGGGCGCGCATACTTCTCGGAAAGGTCAGCGTATACGCAAGGCCTCGCTTGACCACGACCTTAAAAGGTCCAGCAACCGTGGACGGAGCTTCATCGCAAAGACAGCAGAAACTGCATGTGTAGGAAGGTTAGTAGCATTTGAATAGAATAGGTCTCGGACCTCAATGTTTTCAATATTTCTTCTTTCCGTCTGCATATTTCTACTGCATGTCTTGGTGTTCAGCCATCGCATCGCGAACGTGTCGTAGTACACTCAGACTGGTCGTAGAGAAGTCATTGACATCATTACGGACAGTGAGGGGGCAGACATCAGCTAGCCGTTCGGCAATTCCCCCTCAAGCCCTAAGCCAGGGGATGGCGGCGTCAGCGGGACGCAAGGATTAAGAAGCCCGTTCACGTAGAGCGACGTGTAGCCGGTAGATAAAAGCAATGCATCGTTCAGCGCAAACGCTACAATTGGCAACATAGCGCTCCATTGTTTCGGCGTCTCAGCGTAGACGCTGAGAAGAACGTCTTCACGCGCTCAGTTTGACCATCGGTCTGCGGATGGTCCGCTGTTGACATAGTCAATCTGGTGCGCAGCACCCTGTAAATTGTAGACCAAAACTTCCCAGTGAAGCGTGGATCTCTGTCAGAGACAATTGACTACGGGAGTCCATGCTGTCGAAAGACACGATCGACAAACAGCATCGCTGTATCTAAACCGTCGACGCTGTCGGGCACTGCCGCAAGATGAGCCATCTTGCTCAAACGGTCCAAAAAGATCACCACCCGTGTTGCTCGCCGAGTCCTTCGGCAGGCAAACACAAAGCCCATACTCATGGACTGCTAACACCCGGAGGGCACTGGTAAACTGACCAGCGGCGGCGTTGCATTCGGAGAGGGTTTCATCCTTTGACACGTCTCACGCGTGCACACATATGTGCTCGTCCACTTGTACAGCTTGGGCCACCAATAGTGGAGCTGTACGTCTTCTCACGACCGAGATGACCACTGAGTGGGGTGTCGTGGGCCTCAT